TGGGGAGGGGTCTTGAATATTTTGTCCTATCCTTTAGAGTGGCCCAGTGACTCAAATGAAAGCAGTGAACAGCATTAATCTTATGCTCTGCATAACCTAGCACAACTTCAAAGTTGTCAAAACAGTGTTCAAACGGTGTCGTCCGCCACACTGACAGGGCGATTCGGGGGAGCAAATTTTGGTGAAGAAGCCCAGCTAGACAAGCACCCCTCTCTGTCACAGAGTGTTTGTCTCCCACCAGTGATTCCCTATCATCCTATTTGTCATAACATGCGACATAACAAGAAACATGCATGTTGCAACAAACAACGAAATCTTGGTCTGGATTTTTACTTTCTAGACCTGCACTATCCACCTCTGGCAACCGTTTTGAGCAGGGGTCTCAAACTCCCGTCCTGGGGGGCCGGAGCCCTACACAGTTTTTGGTTCACCCTCATTTAACACACCTGATTCAACTCCTTGCGCTAATTACCACACAGCTCTTCAGCTGATTAATTTGTGGTGGAACAGGGAAAGAGCTAAGCTACACAGGGCTCCGGCCCCCCAGGACTGGAGCTTGAGACCCCTGGTTTTGAGGAAGCCCGAGACGCTGGGCATGAGAAGGCCACGGCAGAGGGGCATTTGTGCTTGTTAAACAAGCCTTACTCACATTGTACAGATGGAGGGCGACGATTTGAAGTTTGCACTTTGGGTGGGACCAGTATGGGACGCTCTCACCCTTCCAAGTACAAATCAACCCTTCATCTGCAAATACAGCTGCATAAATCACAGACCATTGCATAATTCAAATGGCCGCCACGCTGGGATTTCCTCACACGTAGCACTGAGAGTTTCTTGCTGTAATTTGGCAGTTATGGCTGTAAAGTTGCACCGGGGTCTTTATTTTCTGTTTATACAAATTCCATCATCTCGATGAGTTAATAAGCCCACGTCGACACTACTGTGTTTGCAGAAGAGCGGGGAAACACTGTCTAACGGCACAGCTGCCCGAGCACTTTTTATAGGTAAATATACTGTACGTTGGTGCAGACTCATAATTCAGGGTTTTATATAGGCTCTCTCCAGAGACATCTGCTTGGTTGTCCTCCTGGGGAGACTCCAACGGCATGCACACGGGTCTGGCCGCCCGTTTCAGTACACGGCTCACCCCTCCAGGACCGTCAGAGCAGCTGACACCTGCACTGATAAGACCACCAGAAAGCAGGCTTGGCTTTCGCATATCGCCAATCGCCATTACGGGAATTCCGTGCTCCTTATAGCATTCCTTTGACTTAACCAGCAGCTGGATGCCCCAGGAGAGCCAGTTCAAGGAGTTGGGGGGGGGGGGAGGTCAGTCCTCTTAGCAAAATGACCAAAATAAAACCTATTGCATGAAACAGTCCAAATTCTGTTACATATTGCCTGAAAAAAATGATCTGCTGTGGATGTCGGCTCTCTAGACTTACTAACTGAATCAAAATTCACTCAATTTGTATTATGCACAGTACTGTGCAAAGGTCCTAGCCAGTCAAAGAAAATGATGCTTAAATTATCTTAATGTTGGCATGAAACTACGATATTATGTCTGTCAAAGCGTCTTAGCTTAACCAAAATTTCTCCTAAAATCACTTTTATTTCATTTTTAGCAACCATCCAGTACAAATGATTCAATTAATCAAGTGAGCTGGTGGTGACATTTAATAAATACCTGTAATGGCTGAGGTGCCCCTGAGGAGAGGTTTGGGAACTTAAGTGTTCATCTAGCCATCCAACTAGATATCAGAAGAAATTCCTGTTAGTTTTTATTGTGCTACTTTTAATTTAACAAATATACACTTACTACCCAGATAAACAGCTTTAAACATTTCCTTTGACTGTCCAAGTGTTTTGCACAGTGCTGTACATCATGGAGAAACTGTCTTATTCTGTCTCATATCTGCGCTTTTCAACTTGGATGCTAATTACCGCACTAAAAATGTCTGTATATGCAGGTAAAGAGACACAGTATCGATGTCAGACACCACAAAAATCATTTGGCGAACTTTACATTCTTTTGTACCACTGAGCAGTCAGAAGACTGATTGATAGATAGATAATTGCATGCTGTCCGTTATCTTATATTGTGTTACAGAATATTGTAAAACAAAGAAAAACCCCCAAATGCACCAAAACCTATCCAAGAATTTGCAGCAATCTCATCCAAGTTGCAGTGGTGGACTAACAGTGGGGACAGCTGACAGTCACAGGCAGACTGACTTGCAGCCAGTGACACAGTCAGACCCAGAGGACAGGCTGTGTCGCTTTCTACCCAGTGGGCGGCACAGCACGACCCCAACCTCTGGTCCTCCGCAGGATATCCCTTAAAGAGAATCGGAGTGTGACCCCATGGTTCACAGGCAGGGGCTGTGTGGCACGTGCGTGTGTGTGTGTGTGCGTGCGTGTGTGCGCATGTGTGTCCAAAAGCAACACCTCATGAAAGGGGAGAAGAAATTCCAGAACACCTCTGGGGCGGCAGACCCTCAGTTAAGCCCCAAACCTTACGCCCCCCCCCCCCAAACACACACACACACACTCTGCATAATGAGATTTTGAACAGCAGCACTGAGAAGGACCACAGAATTTTAACAGTCCTCCACAAAGAAGCCAATATTGTTGACCTCAGTGAAACAGACTTAATTCTTACGATGCATATGCTATGCAAGCTTTCATAGGCTACCGATAGCGACCTCATTCTGCCATACGCATAAACTTTCATGCCCGCGAGCCCCTTTAGAGATGCATTTCCAAAAGAATGGCATTAATTTCTGATAGCAGATGGTTAGATACCAAATATGGATGATGGGTGAGATATTAGTAAAGTCTGCACTGGACAGAATCCCCACCCACTGGTCCAGTTTACCCATCCGTCAGTAAACGCCTGAGGCTGAGTGCTTTCAGGCTTTGCGGCAGGAACACAGAACAGGGAAATGAAAAGGGAATCATTTCTATCCCGCAGAATTAAATACGGTCCCCAGTAAAACAAAAAAATCTGCCTGCATTTTGTAAAATATTCAGCGCAGATTATGTAACCTTTTGCACTATAGCAAAAACTGGATCCAATTTCTGATCATTTTCCCTGCACCATTTTCTAAGAGGAGGACAAAGTTAGTGCACAGAGAAAACTGAAATGAAATTCATGTTTTACTATTCCAGACATAAATACACAAAGCCAGAGCACTGTCATATCAATATTTTAGAATATTCTTTTAAACCCACGTGAACCAAGCTGCAACTCCTTCAGATGACTGGCCTTTCTGTGAGGTGCTTAAGAAGGTTTAATGGCTGGCAAAATGTAATTTTGAATTGGTGTCTAATACTGGTAGACTGGCCATAACACAATTTTTTCAAAATTGCATCCACCAGCAGATCAGTAAAATCTTTGGAAACTCCTTTGCCCTAGAGAATGCAAAATAATTAGATAATTCAATCTTTACTGAATGCTGCATTCGACTTTGCTAGGTTCCTGTTTTTCTATACTCTGTGGTTTGAAGGAATGAAAATATCACATTTTTAAAAAGGTATAATGACACCATCTCCTTGATGGATGGACTGACGCTCATACAGATCAAACACAAACATAGATTACCATGCTCAGTTGTCTCCCTGTTGGGTAACAATCAAACAAAACTTCATGACAGCTGACACCTTGGCCACGCGTTGAGTGCATGTGTCCAGACACTTCCATCCAAATAAAAAACAGCAAGAATTCCCCAGTACAAAGATATGCAGACATTCCAACAACATTTGACCTAAGAAAGCTCAGAATATGAATACATCTTCACTGGCTAGAATATGAACACAATCTTCACTGGCTAATCTACTTTATAATTTAAGGCAGAATAATAGGAAAACGAAAAACAATTGCAACTACATAACCTGACATTCAGACAATTTGCGCCTCGATTATCTCATTACAAAAGCACATAAACACAAAGTACCATATATATATATATATATATAAACATACGCAGTAACATACTGAGAGAAAATATTTCAATGCATTTCATCTAATATATCCCATACTTGAAGCGTTTGTTTCAATTAATTTTAACTGCGACACATATTGCTAAAGCAGCTATTTCTTAATTAGTCACTCACAATACAAACATTTCTTGGCAATTATAACAAGGAATTGCCCAAAAGTGTTTGAGAGCAATTACTCATGATCGAGTAATGTTTTAATAACTTGAAGGTTCCCCCTAGCGACTGAGTCTAGGACCCACAAGGCATACAAAGGCGTTGTCTGTTAGCTTAATCAATTCATCGTTTTATGGACCATCACACATAACTGAAATATCAGTCAAAAAAGATTCAGACGCACATGAAATTTTTGTGCGTGTTTTGTACAGATCTTTAGAAAGCACATTTCGATATTGAAACTCTATCAGCCAAAAGAAATCTCTAATGCCCAACAAACTCCAAAAAAAGAAAGAAAGAAGAAAGGAAAATGAAAATGCACGTACCGGATAACACGTTTAAGTTAGCAGATAATGGATCAGTAAAACAACTCCGACAGTCAGCGACGCTCATCACCGATGAGTCACATCATTCACTTCACTTACTTCTTATTCAACAAAACTTTCCCCCCCCAAATTAGCGAAATTTCACCTTCCACTAATTCCTATTCCCCATAACCCAAACAACACAACTCAATATCATGCTGAAAGTTTAACCCAAACAAACAGTTGTGACGTTAACGCCGCAAACTGCAAAAACAATATTACAAATGACCGATCACTTCCATTGACTATCACGGTCCAACCTGCCTGCATATAGGGGTATGTGTTGCACAAAAGTTAGATACGTTTTCTTGGTGGTTCATATCGTACGTTTTTTAAAACAGATCCAACCAGTCATGCAAATATTTAGTGAAAACATAGAAATGTCATCAGTCAGGTGAAACATGAAGGAGAAAAGCTGAAAGCCCAGAGGAGGATGCACTTTGAACCGCGCAGCCTAGTACAGCAAAGACCGATTCCAACCTGAAACACAAGCGATCCCAATCCAAATCCAGCAGAAAAGCGTAAAATCTCTCTTCATTTCCAGATTTCCAGTCCTCTATATAGTTTTAAACCTTATAATAAACTCGTCCGCAGCTAATACTTTTGAGGTCAAAAGCACTAAAAAGGAGAGGAAAAAGTTATTGTCCGAGTGTGGAGCGAAACTCAGGTGAGCTTCTTCTGTTTCTCTCTCCAAAGACCCCAGCACAGAGGATGTGTGAACTGTCAACGATAAGGAAAGGTCTTTTCTCGTTAAAAGGAAACGTTTTTTTCAAGATCAGAATAGATTTGCAATGATTTCCTTTTCCCTTTTTACTGCTCGTGACTGCAACATGCATCCACCCCTGTTCATTCTTAAAATACAAGACGGATTTGTGGGGCAGCCAGATACTCGTGACAATACCCCCTCCTCAGAAGCGGGTACAACACAATCCCTCCCCCAAAGTGTTAAATTAAGCCGTACAACACAATCACGACAACTAGGAGATGCCCCCATGTAGCCTAGTATACTGAATCCACGTGCGCTGAGCTCAGTTAATGGATTTAGAGAAAATAAGATAAATTTCGCGGAATTTACGGTTAAGTAGCCTAATTGAACCTAGTATTAAAAATTCTACTATATGCAGAAAATTACTTTTATTGAGTTGCAGAAAGTGAGGTATGACATGAGGCATGTATATTTGTCCATGTAATATAAATAAATTAATCGAAAAAAAAAATAATGCCCTGTAATCTCAACCAAAAGTAGGCACGCATTTTTGCCTATTTTTGTACTTAGAAACGAAGCTACAAACAAGGTCACAATGTCATTTCCACCCCATTCTCAGCCATTTTAAGCAATTTGAAAACACTAGGTACTGCTATATGGACATTGCATGCCATCACTTCTGATTTTTTATTATTTTTTTTTTTATTGTAATTATCAACGGGAAACATGAAATGTGGATTTTGAATTCAGCTAACATTTCACCAAAGCCACAGTGAGGGTGCTTTCTCATAACCCCGATCATCTTCACCCCTTACTCCCTCTCACTCCTCTTCAGAGACTTCAATTAGAACCCAATCAGAACTGAATCAGAACCATCTGCAGAATCACATTCGGCAAAGACCTTGGTGAACCCCTATCATTTCAGAAAAAAAAACACAAGTGAATGTTTGAAAATCAAATCAGCTGTGGAGCACGGTCCTCTATCAGCAGATCGGGGAGCCCCCACAAAAGATCTCCACCAGGCGCAGTAATTCCAGGGCGCAGTGCGTGTTTTCTCAGAGACGTCCCCCTGTGTTCATGTTTGAGTTGGGTCAGCCTCCTTTTTCACTGTACTGTTTATGTAGGCAGCACAAAGCTCTGGGCCTACAGTAAAATGGGCCTGGTCACAATTTTCTAATATCCCTTTGCTACCTGATTGTCCACCTGAGGATCAAGTGAGAGAACACATGAGCAAAAGCAATCGGCGAACCGATCCGTGCTACTTACAAAAATATGTAAAATGCAGGAAATGTTAGGTAGAACGTAACTGCCATTCTTAATTATGGACATTACACAATCTAGAATTAAGAACTTTAATTATATAAACCCAATGAAGGTTGAAATATTTCTGCACATATGCTTTAGTGGCGGTTCTTCAAATGTTTGTCAGATCCTAATGAAGCGAAGAGTCCAAAGATAATCTTACGACAGAGTAGGACTGAACCAAAAAACACGCAGCTGCTCCCCAGGACGCCACAGAGAATAACACACAGCTCAAGACATCTTTAAATATTATTGCAAGAACCGCTGAATAGCGTACATTTTAAAGCAAGGCATTTGCACACAATGTGCTCATTGATCCCTTGCAATTAAAGTATTTCATTAAAATATGGGTGTTTCTCAATACCAAGATCGTGAAGATTGTACTTGTGGCCTTGGCAAGACCGGTCTTGCTAATTTGCCTCCCAAAATTGAACTTGCGGCACAATGGATCATCAGACTGGTCTCATTTGGAGAAGATGCAACTGTATCCTCGATATTTGGGGCAAGGCAAGAATGACATCTTGCCTTGCCCCATATGTCCTCTGTAGTTCTGTTCTCGAGTATTGGAATGGGTCTTCGGCAATGAATGATGATGTAAAACAGGTACATGAGAATACAAGTACAACCAGTCACACATACTGAGAAGCACCCTATTGGTCCATAATCTGACCTGTAGCAGGGTCCCAAAATACAAAAAACATTCTTCTGGTGGCATGCAATTCCTTGCTCTGCCCCAGTCCTCACTGGCAAATCTAATGGTGTCAGTGAAGCTCACTGAGACCCCTGATCACAGTGGACAGCTATTTCCACGGGAAATGTTGCTTCAACATTGAAAAGACATTGTAAAAATATTATTTATCAAATGGACATGTCTTCATGCTCCCCAGGAAGCTGAAGACTGTCTCTTTATCCCCCCTGAAATCAGGAAGGCTTCATTTTGGCATTCAGTGCTGAATGTTTGGTCAGCACTTTTCATCATTCTGCTTTATCCTTCTTCTATTGCTTGAACTCATTGCTAAATTAAGTGTCCCAAATGTTAGAATGGGGGGGGGGTGTACAACTTTAAGACACTAGTGCTTTGTGGGAGGAGTACACCGTTTGTTCAGTATCTTCTAGCAGCCGTTCTGGTTGGACTACACTGGTTTTACTGTGCTATAGAGAGCCCCTATCAGTCTTGGTTCAGTGTTACAGACTGAAAAATATGAGTGGATTCAACTATAACAATAAATGGTCCAATGCTTCTCAAACTCAAGTAATCCCTAACTGCCGATGGATAAGACCCAAACTTTCTGGTTAGTTACCCCCCTCCCCCACAAAAAAACACATAACACAACCCAGATAGAAAGCTGACATTGATAAACTTTTGAATTTTCATCAGTCATAATTTTACCGTGATTGTACTTTCCGTGCGAACAGTATGTTGCGTTAATGTATCAATGTCCATGAAACTCGACAGGCATGTCCTACTACCAACAACACCTTTGGATGTATGTTGATTTATCATTCTTTTGGATGTTAAAGCTGCACTTGCATTCTACTGTATACCAATTTTCAGGAAGATATCTCTACTTGTTGCTGTCTTTAAGGTAAGAGAATATTTCATTTGTAATATTTTTGGAATAGTTCTTTTTACTTACTTTGCATAAGGGTGTGTTGTGGAGGTTGTATCATAGACCAAATTCAAAATAACATGTTTGATAGGATCCGCCTTGTGCCCGTAGCTTCCGGGATCGGCTCCGGACGCCCCGCGACCCAGTAGGATGAGCGGTTTGGAAAATGGATGGATGGATGGATGGATGTTTGATACGATTTGATGTGTTTGTGAGTAATATGCTTCACATTATTACATTGTTTTTACATTTTACATTACATGTTGTATGATGAATTTAAATGAAGAATCTATTGTCTTGAACTGACTGGTCATTTTACATTCTATTTATAGGCAAAATAGTTGATGCAATTTTTTGCTGTAGATAAGGCAGGATTGATGTTACTGTCACAAATAGAATTGTTGAAAATTGATTGATTAATCATTTATCTTCTGTTGAATATCTGTTGAATTTTCAATGTTCTTTCAAAATTAATTCAGGGTGCAGATGTGATCAAAAATCAACATAAGATTTCAACATTGATTCAGTGCCATTTCCACTGACATTGTGTTCTATTAGGGAAAGTACAAAACATTTACTAAAAACATTTACTTAATTTTGGACGAAAAGGATCCTATAAACAAAAGAAAAGTCAAACATGACAAATTCACCATGGAAAAGAAAATGAAAGCAAGAAAGTTCAAAGTGGAAAGTTCACAGTGGAAAGTTCAAAGTGAAATATTGAGGGTTTAGCTCAGTTTGGTCATTGCTTGACAGAAGCTGCCTTAGATCTGTGCCAAAGCAATTCCACCAGTGGGATGGACATGCTCCAAAGCCATATTGCAGCTGAGTCATTTTATGTCTCTAACCTTAGACAGACAGCCTTTCTATAGCCGAACTCCATATTCAAAAATTGCAAAAATGTGGACAGTTCTGTCAGCACCCATGCTGTCTTGTGAATAACATTTCAGCCACGTTGTCCATATTTTTGAAAGGGAACCACATCTATCATATGTAGATATTTGGTGTCTAATAAATTCATATACAGTATGTTTAAAGAGGAGGTTATCCATTGTAACATTTCATCGATTATATTGTCTGCATTAGTGACACTTCTTGTTTGTGCTATGTAATAAATTTACACTTCTACACTTAAGCATTTTGAAATAACAGAATTTCCTCACACACATCATTCCCAATACTATGGATTCATACCACCCATTTTTTAACTGTAATTTATCAATGCACAGTCTCTCCTTAATCAAATCCAATAAAATTCTGGGAGCAAACATGAAGGGAGGGGCGATGAAGATTAAGAGACGAGCCACAGCCGGAATCCCCAGCAGAAAGGAGGCAGACAAAGTTGAAAGATTTTATAGCCAAATATGGGAAGATAAGTGCAGAAGAGGGGGCACATTGGTAGCCAGCCATGCTTTTTACCTTAGTTTGGAATTCAATGTAATGTAATTCACATCAGGAACGGTTTCAGTCATTTAGCAGTTTAGTGGGAATCAGTCTGAAATCAGATTGACACACAAGTGCGAATTAGTTGTGTGGATTTTGACTCAGAGTTTAACAATGTGGCAGAGCCCCTCCCTAAGACAAGGACCAAGGGGCCAAGCTGAGACTTCTGTATTGCCATGACCTGGACTGCAGCTCCAAGCTGGGGGGTCTGTAATGTGTTTCCTGACCCCAGGACCTGACGGAAGACGCGGTGGTGCTTCAAGGCCCTGTCCTTGGGCCGAGCATGCAGGGAGGAAGCCATCTCCTTTCAGCTGTCGGTAATGAGCAGACGATGACAACAACAATAACAATGATAAATAATAATTAACAATAACGACGAGAGAGAGAGTTGAAGAAGAACATCTAAAGTACTATTTTTTGATATTTTGTAAGTTTTGGTCCTCACCTAAAATGCAAAGACATCACCCCTAACCACTCTGTGAGATAATCTCAGCTTCATTAGGGAAAGAGATAAGGCAGAGGACTGAACCAAAGCTATGCTTACACTGTCCGCTTACAAAACATGCAGTCAAAAGGTAAAACAGCTTCCTGTCTCAAGCTGAAAAAGCCACCAGCTCAAAGTTTTACCTTCTTTCCCACAATGCACTCTGGTTTTAGCCCATCCTATGAAGAGGGGAGGAGAACCTCTGAGCTTAATATTCCCCAGCAATGCCTGTGTCCGAATTCGGGGGCTGGACCCTTCCCCGGCTGCATCTGAATATGTTGCAGCGGTGTGACAAGGCCGTCCAATTTCGAAGACTACATCAAATACGGCCTAGAAATGCGTCCTGCTTTTGCCGAGTCGCCCAATAGATTCTTCGCCGACCAACGTATCCCAATATTCATTGCGCGGGCCTTTGAAGGAGACAGTGATGTAGTGGCTTTGCTTCCTGCGACTGGCCAGACTGTGGTGTGGGGTGGCATCCTGCCCAACACGCACCAAGAGGACAGTAGAAAGTATTCAGAGGCATCAGGCTTGTCATTCTGGTGTCTTGATCCTATCGGAGGCACATGATTCCGCAAATACGTTAAAGTGAAGTCCCTAAAGGTTTCATTCTATAATGGCTTCTGTAAAAATTTTATATTTTGCCGCAGATCGGGGGGAGCGATTGGTATTTTTTGCTGCAGATTAGGGGGAGGGGTGGTGGCTGAGTTTCCGTTAGTATATTTTGCTGCCAATTTGGGGGGGGGGGGGGGGGGGGGGGGCGGGGGGGAGGTTCCCTTGATATATTTTTTGCAATCTCTTGAACTTTTCAATAGCCAGTTCCCACATAGGCCCCCCTATGCTACACCCTGGGGCACAGCTGGCCCTGATATGCAGAGTGTACTGGCTCCTTCATTTTGACCTTCCATGGCTCTTCTCTGTGTTGAGATGGATGCATTCCCAGGTTTTCCCGTACAACTTAGTGCGACTGTTACTCAGAGGGGAAAAACAACTTGGTGAGATCCCCACAGGTTTAACTTTTACGTGTTTCCGACGCCAGTCTACACGCTCAGTACCCGAAATAGCTATTCCAGTGCATGCACTCGGGTGGGTGGTTCAAGCAGAGTGACGATGAGCATCAAGATGACACGTTTTAGCGTGACTGTCTGCGATTCGGAGGATGTGTGCGCATTGCAGCGGTAAGCAGATCGGATGTGTGTGCGCAGATCAGCGGCCCAAAATGCCTTCTTGATTCCATGACTCCACCGAGCTGCAGAGAATTAGGGTTGGGGGGGGGGAACTGTTTTTGTCAGTGGACGTCCTGTGTGGTGTCAGGAGGTGTCCTGTGTGATAGCTGTGGAGGTGCTGACAGCTCAGAGAACATCCTCCTGGTCCGTCACTCGGCCGTGAATAGCCATCAACAGGAAGCAGTGTGGCCTTCTTCACTCCAGAGGACAGGAGTGGCTGGTACAGAGCACATCTCCTACTCCAGCTTCACACACGACTGCTTTGCTCATAAATGCAGTGATTGTGAAGCACACCAGTGATTTAAAATGATCTTCACTCATTGTAATGTTCTAAAGAGCACGCCGACTGAGTAAATTATGAGGAAAACTGACCCCAGTACCTTATATCTTGATTATTATCTAGCATATTGTTCCATTGTTCTTATAATGTTTAAGCATGCTTTTTAATAATTCAAAAATAACCAAGAGTAATTTTTTTACTTAGGTATTAAAACTGCAAGGAATAGCTGCTGTTAGACCCTGCATCTGGTACAATGACAAACAATTTACTAATTATATACTCAAAAATCATTCAAATTCACATATTCAGCTTAAAGATATTGACAGTGTTCTACCCGACAGTTATTGATAAGGATATATGTACAGAGCAATTCAAAAACTTCACCTTTTATTAACTGGGCTGGCTGATTGTGAATTGTAGCACCATAACTTACACAGAAACCTTATTTCAGTGACAGGCACCTTTTTGTGTCACAGCATAGACTAATGATGTTAATCATTTTTAGGGGCGAGTCATTGTATTGTAAGGCAAGTGATGGCTGAAGACCACCACAATTTATCCTGGTATCTGGAAACAATAGGACGGAGTTCAGCTTGGGGTTCATTGCTTGCTGTTGCTATGTTATTAGTTTCTAATGTTTTTATTTTACGGTGAGGGGTTCCTCAGCCGAGACGGCTGCCTGGCGTGGGGGAAGCTGTTCATTAGAACACACTGTCACTCACTTCTCAGCTGTTTAGTATAGAGGCACAAATACAAGGTGGTAAATAAGAGGAGGACCTGTGTTTCTGTTCCATGCTTTTGCATTATTTCACTAATTTTAGTCTTTAGGTAACAAATTGCACTTTGAGATGACACATTTGCCTATATATTAGCAGCTACACTGCTTCGTTATCTCCACTGGACTGTACTGAGGAACATGCAGGTCCTTTTTAACATCCGGTGAGTCATCGTCTCATTGGCTGAGCTTCCTAAGGTGCAGTCATCGTCTCATTGGCTGAGCTTCCTAAGGTGTAGTCATCGTCTCATTGGCTGAGCTTCCTAAGGTGCACAGTGGTGACACACGGTGTCTTTACCGTTTAGCCTGGCAGCAGTCAGTAGCAGACAGGTGGAGAATGTAATTCCAGTAGCTAGAAAATTATCCGATCACGAAAGAACTGAAATTTTAAATTCATACTATAAAAATATATAACTATGAGTACAGAGAATATGAATTTGTTTTAGCTTTAGTCCAAAAGAGGCCTGCAAGAGATTTAAATAATCAGTAATAAAACAGAACACACTGTGGGGAATTAACTAGGCAGATTAACTAGAAATATGTTTAAATTAATATATATGCATTAATAACCGTAAATCATTATTAGATGAGTCTCTAACTTGGTGCAGATGCAGCCTATAATTCTTGTCTTTTGTCAAATATCTGGTAGCCTGATTGAGGGTCATTTCTGTTCAGCTGTACTTTCACAGATTCAAGCGAACGCTTTGACTGGGCCGCTGAAGGACTGTCACTCCCGAACCGGTCCAGTGTAGCAGCGGCATCATGCTCTGGTCTGTTGTCTTTTGAAAAGGTGAAATTTCACATGAGCTTAAGGGTTTAAACAGACTGAAATTCTGTTTTTGTATTTTTTTCCTGTTCTGCAAAGGCCTGATATGCACTTCAGGATGTGGCCCAGTCTTTTGCAGATCACTCTGATCCTCACTGGAAGTGTGTTTGCAGACAAATGCATTTTCCTGTTGCTTCCGTTGTCCTTTTTTCTGTCATATGATCTGACCACAGTTGTTGCAGGTGTTATAAAATCTTGTGACTGTTTCTGATATAACCAAGTGATATGTTTATTCATTTCTGTTTTATGAAAATCTTATAATACTGGCCTGTTTTGGCCACTGCATCTCAAGAGGAGGAACATATTTGGACACAATGCTTAAGATTTTCTTCATGATCTTGGTAACAGGGCAGCTCTTCGGATTTTAGTCAAACTTTATTCATTTTAAATTCATTTTTAAACCGCAATTCTTTAATTGACTCTGGCATGCATGTCTAATTTGTTTATGACAACCATAAATGTGAAATACTGTACTGTAGCATACTAAAGGGATTTTCTTTCCCTTTACTGAACAGCCAGTGCTGTACCTGCAGTCGATCACAGCAACGCAGCATCTAGCAGGGTCTGAGAGTCGGCCTTGCGTGGGCTAACAGATTAAATCCCATCACTAATGTGATTGTCTTGGAGTTTTCCTGCTGGGTGTCCACGTAATTACAGAGAGCGAAAAAAACAACAACATCAGATTAGGCCATATTTTGTGCGCCTCAATTATGTAACCTGCCTTGTGGGCTTAAGCTACATAAAAATTAACAAGCTATAAGAGAAAAAGGAGCTAAAATTTACCATGATATATTATTAGTAACATTATTCATTGTATACACAAAGCAAATACCTCCAATAAACTGAAGAAATCTAAGGAAGATTTTTTTTTTTGTAAACAGACTCATTTATGTACCGTAAATAAACAATAGAGGGCAGCAAAGTACCAGACCACCCCGGGTAACAAGTCACCAGCCCGGGTGCTTATGGCTAACAGGGCAACAGGAAACTGACCCTCTCAGCTCCTGCCACTTCCTGACTCGGCTTCATTTAACATAGAACTGCACACAAAGCGGCGTCAACAGAGAGCTGCGGCATGCGACCTCAGAACCCACCGTCCACCGACACCTGGCGTGAAAAAGGCATCTCTCAGATTGTCATCTTATCACATAGTGGACAAACAACCAAGTTCATGACAGCAAAACAAGTAGGTATAAACTACACATGCTGTGAACCAGCCAAGTGAACTGTGTCCGTGAGTAACGCAAGCAAAACAGCAGAATCTTTCCGTGGCAGAAGATAGCAGAGGGGGTAACATACAGGTTATAAAAACATGAATAAAGGAATCTGCTAACCAGCATTAAAATCATTTCCAAAACACCAAATGTGAGGGGCACCTGGACGGCTGAGACCAGAAAGGAAGCAGAAACTGCAGGGACTAAAGCAGGAAGCGAAAAATAACTGGAATAGATTATGATTACGCTACAGAATAAGAGTACTGTAGAGTAACGCTGAAGATGTGGGAATCCATTAGATAGATGACATCCTCAAAGAGAGACTTCATTAAAAAACACAACTTCAAAAACATCAACAGCTGTGCTAATTTTAAAAAGAAATCTGTGTAATAGTGTCTGAAAGAAAAAAAGGCGATTCAATTGAGGATTGAGTTGCTTAAATTCTACCTGAAACACTGAATATATATATCACTCATACACTTGGGACTGTAGTTACAAAGAGACCCCCTCTAATATGTGAAATCAGAATCATGACATGCTGTCACTTCTGTGTGCAAATTTGAATTTAAGACCATCTTAAACACAATGCATTTATTCAGTTCACATCAATGCCATATCATCTAACACATACTCACTGAAAGGAGGAAAAAAAATCTGGATTTCATCTTGAGAACCTTCGGTAGAAATCTGTAGAAACCCGAGGGGGGGGGGGGGGGGTTACTTATTATCCCTCTGATATTTGACATATCGTTCCCAGCAGGATGGATCTTTCACCTGGCAGGAGAAGCCAAAGCAGCTGAAACGAGCTGATCGGAGGTTCACCTCATTACGCGATTACACCGTCAGGAGGATCACAATGGGGCCTCGACACAGACACCAAAAGCACCAGCAGTGCTAATTGGGTTCGAGTCATGCACTTCTCCCTGAGGAAATGTATTTTAAATCAACCTGCGAGGAAATGAAAAAGACATTGTCCTCAAGAAGAGCAAATACGAGGTCTTTTCTCATATTGCAGTTTTTTTTAGGAAAATCTTTTGCACTGAGAACAACATAGGCCTAAGAGTATTATATAACTAACTTTTGTCACCCTTTCAAACTAATTATTATTACCTAAACACTGAATGCAAGCAATTCTTCCAGAAGACAAGGAGAAACTCATTTCAGGTTTTGCTTCAGGGAGACAGGAGCACTTTAAGTGACCTCAGGACTAGTTTCATTAATGAGCTTTTCCACTGAATGGGCACAGGATGCAACTACAATCAGTATCAGAGATGGAATGACGAGGTTGAACGTCTCCCCATTATCACCGGAAACTCATACGTCTGACACGAATACGCTGCCATTACCTTCCAATAGGCAGATACTGGTAACCAGACTGCACAGCAACATTCCAAAGAAAAAGGAGGTCAGTGTGACAGGAACAGCATAATACAAGCCTCCTTCATCACACATGGTGAGTGTGTTTGCAAACGACGGCATTACAATATTCTAATCAAGTGACATCAAAATACAGTGCTGTGACAATTTCCTAAAGCTTTGCCTTTTTATAAATGCTAACAAATTGAAAGTGACAAATTAAGCAAATCGAGTCTGCAAGAAATTATCATAAATGCTATTTGTCATGGAAAAAAATATGCATAAATGGAACTTTATGATTTGCATATTTTCCCAGCACAAAAAATATCAAATGTAAAGATTTAATAATGATTGACAAAACAAACAAGATCTCTCACTGGACAAAAAAAAAAAAAACTAAACATAAAAATGAATCCATCCAAGGATAAAAAAAGAAACAGATTAACTTTACTATATTACATACTTCATAGACAAGATAGAGCTGTAAAAACGGAACAACAGTGCATTTCTGGCTTGTGTTTATTCAGAAGTTTTTCAATAATATTGGTTTAATGATTGCGCAACTACGTCACACATTAGCAAACGACTGCTTGGCAGAATACGGCTGCAGAAGAGTCTGAACTCCTTCATTAATAAGCAGGCATCAATACCTACAGCGAAAATGTCAAAGTCAACCTTTAAGACCTATATCTTTCAATTAAAAATTTTTTTTTTTTTTAAATGAACTGCTGTTGAACCGCAACACTTGCCTCCACATCTTACATACATGTATGCAGGTCTAGTTTGGAAATCATAAATTTATGTACAACACAGGGCTTGCATAGACAGATACAATATAGATGTGTCGTCTATCGCACATGCTTCATATTCTGTACACATCACCCTTTATTTATAAGCTCAGGGTTTACAGCGGTTCCAGAGGGAAGTGGACGAGTCGAATCGGCTGGGGTTTCCGCCCCTGGTCACTGAGGCAGGTGCTGAAGAAGGGAAAAGCTTTCTGATTCGGCCCATTGTTAAATGAGCAGAGCATCAGCATCGTATCTGCGTTGTAGAAGGAGACCCTCCGGTCCTTGAAGTCTAAGAAGACGCCGATGATGCGAGGGGCGGACGTCAGGCTCAGACGGGTCCAGGGCTGAGTTCCTGCTGAGTACTGGGTCTTGTTCCGCAGCCGGAGGGTCCAGTAGCCATTTTCTGGGCATAGCTTGACCCGGACCCCACGGTCCACGGTCTCCAGGGCCACGCCCACATCCCACTTTGTCTTGTTCCCCACTCCCACCTCCCAGTAGTGGCGGCCTGACTGGAAGCCCTGGCTCCCCAGGATGTTGATGCACTGGACAAACCTCTTACGACTGGGCTTGTGGGCGACCATCTTGTCACATTCTACCACAGAGGTCTTTTCCCGGCAAAGGCAGAGACTCGGATGGGCTGTTTCCTCATCGAAAGTTAGTGGAGCAGGGCCTACCAGCATAATACAATACCATGAACCATTAATTTACACTAATCACAATAATTATGTTCTCATTACCCATTCATCTTCTATCCATTCATCAGGGTCTTTTCCTACTCAAAGTTTGCATGCTGTGAAGATAAACCTGGAGCTCCGCATCTAAATCGGAGCTAACACAGGAAAACAGCGGCATTCCAAAGCTTTTTCATGAAAATAATAAACTGCTATTAATACCAACATGCATGTATGATTACCAGAACCCATGAGAAGCTTCCTGGCATGTAACGGACGTCACATCAAAGAGAATACCTGGATTCAAAAGCTTGAACATCTTCCTCCAGACGATATACTGTAGCGGACCTTTATACTTTGCACCAAAACTGCTTATGTCTATGCCGGGTCCTTGGTCCACCTCAACAGACAGTCTAGACCACAAAAAAAGACAAACATGATAAAACGGGCAGAGTACAACTTGTTATTTGGTCCTGATAACAACCAACAAGTAGGCAACCTTACCGATGAAAATAATTGGTGAGCAAACATGAATCATGTCTATACACTCATTACCTTAAAATAGGGCACAAGCTGGAAAATCTATGAGAGCAGTTTGTCAGACAGTGAATTCTAATCATTGCTGTGTTGATGTATCTGTCCATTATGTGACTCCTACTATTGCTCTAGAAAAGCTTCACAATTAGGCAAATTGGGACACTGGTATTGGAAAGTTACTCAAATTCCTAAAAGAACAGTACCAGTTACACAATGTGCCTAACATTTACATTTTAAACCATTAATCTATTTCTTTTACCCTCTTCTTCGTATTAGGTAATTAACTCCATGCTAAGCCAAGCTTTACAACATTGCTGTTTTTTATTGCGATAAAAAGTTAAAAACACTAAGATGCTAAACGCCCAAGAGGTTAAAGGGACCCTTTTATGCTTTTTCTGGTGTTTCCCTTTCCTTTAGCATCATGTATCTTTATGTGCATGTAAACAGTCTGCACTACGGCCCCAAGTACACACCAATGGGAGTAACTCTCAGTACAGAAACCACTCTTCTCTAATCTGCCTGAAATGCCTCATTGGAATTCTAGCCCTTACTTCTGTGACATGGTGACGTCACCTTGTAACTCAATCCTTATTGGCCGCCCGCCGGCAAGCTGTCTGGAAACTAGTAGTGCAAGCTGACCAATCAGAGAACACTTGGCTCATTGGAGGTGGGGCTTAAAGCTCTAACAGAGCATGTCAGACATAGCAAATAGAGATGTAATGAGAAATGAGAAAATTGCATTTTTGGAATACTGAGGTGTGTGAATCTATTTTAGATGCCAGAAAAAAAATTACGAACTGTGAAAATGGCCATAATAGGGCCCCTTTAAAGTTCTCAGGAATGATGATAATTAGTAAACTGGAAGATCCGGCACATTTCCCATAAGCACCGTGCCAAAAAGCCTAGTGCCAGCGATCTACATCAGGCCAGGCTGAAGTCACAAACGGTCAGGAAGCTGCTTTCTCTGTTATAAATTAACTGAACAGAATGCAACAGAATGGCAATGGATTTTTAGAAAATTATGATGAATTGTTGGTACTCACCTGAAATTCACCTCAGGAGTCTGGAAGTAAAAGAAGAAGGATTCAAAACTATATACTCAATATCACTAATGTATTTGTTTGCATTACCAAAAAATGCTTACTAAACTTCCTGTATAGAATCATTTAAATATATTATAGAAATAGAAAATATCAGTGGTTTAGTCTTCATATCATAAACAATTAATCAGTCACTACCTTCAAAGGGCTGTACAGTGGTCATATTTTGTTAAGATTTTGGCACAAAGGAACTGGAAGTATGGAACGGAATATGATTTTGTCATTTAATTCAGCTTGTGTGATATTTCAACAAAATCTCTCTTCTGAGAACTGACTGACATTATGGGTCATATCGAAATTTCCCAAGTTCTTGTGTTATGGTTACAGAGCCCAAGATTTTGGCACAAAGGAACTGGAAGTACGGAACTGAATATGATTTTGTCATGTAATTCAGCTTGTGTGATATTTCAACAAAATCTCTCTTCTCAGAACTGACTGACATTATGGGTCATATCGAAATTTCCCAAGTTCTTGGGTTATGGTTACAGAGCCCAAGAGCTCCAGATTCCATTAAATGTGGGGCAAAATTCAAACAGGACACTTCTGCCAATGTTGGTCTGCTGGGTCGAAGCTGGACATGGACAGTAAGCTCAGTGGAACATCCTATGTATTACTCACTGCCCGCTTTAAAATCCTTCTTCTGTAAGGAGACCTTTAGTTCAAGTTTCAGAGCAGCTGAACTATAATCACATTTACTCAACTACTATGACGATTTAACAGGTACCTTCTCAAGTCTGGTGCAATGTTTGTAACACATCTATATAAAACTAAAAATACACAGTTGAATCTGTTGTCGAAATGTAAGACAAATCCTCTCACCATTCAACTTGCTAAACATTAACGTATTAAATGTTACACTAATACCACAAAGATGTACAACCCTATGAACTTTACTTTACGCAAGACTCATTACTAAACAGCAGATGGCAAACGCAGGGGTTCACATATCTTGCAGCTAAGCACGTCTCTGGGCATGAAAAAGGCAAATTCAGCAGCTGTACATTCTGGCAAATTTACACTTGTCATTCGGTATTTGTGCAATGCTCATATTTAAAGAGACACATCGCACAATGACCTGCGGCATTTACCGTAAGCTGCTGTAGTACGAAGGCACCACTCCCCTCAATGCGGACTGATAGACTCAGATTAATTATTATTAAACAGCCCTACAAAATGGATTTCAGATTAAATACTACAGAGACAACACACCCATGTTATAAGGGCAAAACAACATCAAAATATATAGGCAATATATTTAACATAAAAGCAGTTGTATTGTCATACCTAAGAAAATTTAGAAAAAGCTTGTAAATCATGCTTTTATTCTGTCTTTGAGCAGAAAAACCAGCACTCAAATTAGTCACAAAAATAAGCCTATATAATTTATGAAACTAAAAATACCTCTGTCAATATACAAATCTACTATATATGTAATTAATACATTTCTCAGTTGATCTGGGACAATCCTGCCATAACTGGAATTAATCCATCCATCCATCTTCCACCTGCTTATCCTGCACAAATGGTGGGGGGGGGGGCCTGTAGCCAATGCCAGGCAGTACAGGGCATTAAACAGTGGAGCACCCTGGACCGGATTCCAGGGCAGTGCCAGTCTAGCAGTCCTTGACTGTTATTTAAGAGAAAGAATATGTAGGAGGGAGGGAGAGGGAGAGAGAGAGAGAGAGAGAGCGCGCTGTGGGTGATTTGTCTTTCCTGATGTGATATGGAGATCTGTAGATATGTAGATTTGCTTATAAAAGCAAAAATAATTTTAAAAGGCTGTGTGGAACATTGTGTGGAACATTGTGTGGAACATGTTTTACGGGATTTTGTTTTTGCACCCGCAGACAAAAAGAAAGTTATAATGTGCAGGTCAAAGACAAAAGTCCAACCCGAGAGATTTATGGAGCAAGGCAAGAGAGCAATAACCTCAAAAGACAAGGTGATCAACAGATAAAGGTATTTCAATGGAGGCATGAGGAGGTGAAAATGTGTCGAGGAAGAAAGTGCGGAATTACATAACACATGCTATGATCTATCAAGGGGGAAACTTTTTCGACATTATCGACCAGGGAACATGGTAATGAAGGAGGCACCTTGACAAAGTTTAAAGGAAATACTCTTAACCTTATCAGCCGATTGCTTCAGAAAATGACACCCAGCTCAGTGAACCTCATACCAGTAATATTCCCAATCCGGTCCACGGACACCCACAGCCGGTCCACATTTTGGGAAATACTGCCTCATGAAATACCAAACAACCAGAGGAGCTGAGACAGTGAACATCCCCTGGAGACCTGCTATCCAAATGACAGCCGTCTCCATTGCCCATTTAAACGTCATTTATATACAGGGTTCTTACACCTTTTCCAACTTCAAATTCCAGCACTTTTCAAGCACTTTCAAGGTGCATTTTTATGCTTTTCCAG